CCTCCAACCCAAACCATTCCACGATCCCGTGGAATCTCACCTGAGGACACGGCTCAGGGGTGACCACGGTGGTGGGTGGATGGTTGGAGATCCTTCAAATCTGAACCATTCCATGATCCCGTGGAATCTCACCCGGGGCCACGGCTCAGGGGTGACCACGGTGGTGGGTGGATGGTTGGACTGGATGATCTTGGAGATCCCTCCAACCCAAACCATTCCACGATCCCATGGGATCTCACCTGGGGCCACGGCTCAGGGGTGGACATGGCAGTGGGTTGATGGTTGGAGATCCTTCCAACCCAAACCATTCCATGATCCCGTGGGATCTCACCTGAGGACACAGCTCAGGGGTGACCACGGTGGTGGGTTGACGGTTGGAGATCCCTCCAACCCCAACCATTCCGCGATCCCGTGGGCTCTCAGGGCTGTTTCTCTCGCAGGTACGACCCCTACGAGTCCTACGACTCCAGGTCCTCCCTGAACGAGCGCGACCTGTATCGGCCGTCGGGCTACGACTACAACGACTACAACGACTACAACGATTACAACGACTACAACGACTACAATGACTACAATGACTACAATGACTACAATGACTACAATGATTACAATGATTATAACGATTATAACGATTACAACGACTACAACGACTACAACGACTACCACGAGTACACAGAGTCGGAGCAGGACAACGACGGCGCCTACGAGGGCCCCTTCGATCCCTTTCCCGGGGCGCGGCGGGATCCGTTCCCGGGCCGGGCGCGGGACGGCTTCGGGCAGCGCGGGCAGGGCTGGGGCCGGGACGGGCGGCCCTCGGGGCCCTTCCCCGGGCGCGGGGCCTGGCACGAGCCCCGCGGGCCCAAACGCCTGCCCTCCCTCTTCTCCCACAACATCCTGCCCCCCGAGCCCGGAGCCTTCCCCGGGAACGGAGCCAGGGGGTTCCCCGGGAACGGCCGCTACGGAGGAGGGATGGTCAGGCAGAGGGTGAAGAGGAACTGGAAAATGTGGGATTGGGATTTTAAGGTGAGTCGGCCCCGGCTCGGCTCGTGGGGAGGGGCTTCAGAATTCCCTATAAATCCATAATTCCGGGTGCTACGGAGGGGGGATGATGAGGCAGAGGATGAAGAGGAACTGGAAAATGTGGGATTGGGATTTTAAGGTGAG